CTCCACTCGGGGTGAGCCCCGGGGACGCGGTGCGGGACGCCGACTGGCACCCCCCACACACACACCTCTGCCTTCCTGTGGGGTCCAGTAGGCGTGACCCCTGGGAGACACCGGAAATCAGACGGCAAACGGAAAGCGCGGCCTGAGCCCCCCTGCGCTCCTCTAACAACAGCCTCAGCTCCTGGCGGAGCCCCCTTCAGCTGCCTGAGGCTCCAGAAACTTCCAGAAACGACTTGCTTCCGCCCCCAGCCCGGCCACCCCAAAGCCTGGGGACGCGGGCTCGCCTTTCCCTGCAGGTTTCCGCCGCTGACGACAGCTTTGCGAAGAGTCAAACCCTCCGTGACTCCGTTCTGAGCTGCTTCCTGAAGGCCCGCGCCTAACAGTGCCAATTCCGAGCTGTGCAGCCTCCACCAGCCTGGCGCTCGGGCCTCGTCTCCACAGGAGGAAAACCAGCAACACCCTTCCTGGCCTGGACGCTGTGAAGATCCGGGGAGACCACACCTGGAAAGGGGCCTGGGTCTCCGGCCCGGGCTGCAGCCAAAACCCGTTCTTTGGGTTCCGTTTTGGGAATGGGCCTCGGCAAGGCCGGAGAGCCTCCCGCCGCTCCCACCGCCGTCTCTGCATCCCTGAACGAGGGCTTGATGGACATCTGTGTGATTTTCCAAGTTCCATTACATTTCACGCAAAAAAAAGAAAAGAAAAAGAAATGCCATCAAAATGTTAAAGAAACACTTTAGTTTTAACCAGAATTTTAAAATCTCACGTTCTTTACGTGTTGAAATTCTACGAAGCCGCTGAAGAAGGAATGTGTACCGTTATGCAGTGGTTTTAAAACAAGGCCATGTTTTGTTTTTTTAATTGATTTCGGAGAGGAAGGGAGAGAGAGAGACTGAAACATCAAGGATGAGAAAGAATCATCGGTCATCAGCTGCCTCCTGCACGCTCCCCACCGGGGACCAAGCCCGCCACCAGGGCATGTGCCCCGACTGGGAATCCAACCATGACCTTCTGGTTCATAGGTGGATGCGCAACCACGGAGCCACACCGGCCGGGCCATTTGTGACCCTCCTGTGTTTGAGAAGTGGACATCTCTTTTTAAAAAAAATATATTTTCTTGACTTTTTTGCAGAGAGGAAGGGAGAGGGACAGAGAGAAGAGGAAGGGAGAGAGAGAGACTGAAACATCAACCATGAGAGAGAATCATCGGTCATCAGCTGCCTCCTGCACGCCCCCCACCGGGGACCAAGCCCGCCACCTGGGCATGTGCCCCGACTGGGAATCCAACCGTGACCTCCTGGTTCATAGGTGGATGCGCAACCACTGAGCAACACCGGCCCGGCCATTTGTGACCCTCCTGTGCTTGAGAAGTGGACATTTTTTTAAAATATATTGATTTTTTACAGAGAGAAAGGGAGAGGGATAGAGAGAAACATCCATCAGCTGCCTCTTGCACCCCCCCCACTGGGGATGTGCCCGCAACCCAGGTACATGCCCTTGACCGGAATCAAACCCGGGGCCCTTCAGTCCGCAGGCTGACGCTCTATCCACTGAGCCAAACCGGCTAGGGCGAGAAGTGGACATCTTGGTCCCCTCCTCTCAAATCTGAGCGGACATGGAACTGCTGTAACCAATAGGGAGGTGGCAGAAGGGAAATGACCGAACCAAGAGCGTCTTGCGGAAGGAGCTCTGTGGTGGTCCAGGCGAGGCCGTCCAAAGCCACGCCACTTCCTCCTCGCCCATTGGGACACACTCACTCTTGGATCCGTGAGCTTCCAAGGGAGAAGCTCAGCTGTGCCCTGGCGCCCCGCTGCGGGGAAGCCCGAGCCGCCTGCGTGTGCTCCAGCCCATAGTTCCCAGCTGAGCCCTGCCGTCAGCTCAGGTACCAGAGAGGTGATTAAAGAAATGCCTAGACCAGGGGTCCTCAAACTACGGCCCGCGGGCCACATGCAAATACAAATATTGTATTTGCTCCCGTTTTGTTTTTTTACTTCAAAATAAGATATGTGCAGTGTGCATAGGAATTTGTTCATAGTTGTTGTTTTTTTAACTATAATCCGGCCCTCCAACGGTCTGAGGGACAGTGAACTGGCCCCTGTTTAAAAAGTTTGAGGACCCCTGGTCTAGATAATTGTAGCCCCCAACCATGGAGTCACTCTCCACCCGTTGACATCTTCCTAGTTGGGGCCCAGACACGGAGTAGCAGAAACAACCCATCACTGCTTTACCCTGCGGGAATTCCTGGCCCACAGATCAGTGAGCGTCACAAAACAATTGTCATTCTTCGCGGCTACATTTGGGATGGCTTATGCAGCAGTAGATAACGGGAAGACATAGAAAGTGCAGCAGCGATCGAGGATGATTGGCAAAGCACTTACTACAAAGGAAAACTGAGAACGACCTTCTTAACCCCTGAAGAGGTACCCAAGGCCGCTTTTTCTAGCAGCGCACAAAGTTTCCATTCATGGATTTTTTTTTTTTTCAATGAAGCGGTATCATCACCATCAAAGAGCTCTTCAGACTGGTGAGTTGAAGAGGAGATAAGTCCGTTTCAGCCACTTACATTCAGAGGAAGGAAAGCTTGATCGTTTAATGACATGTCCCCAGCAGCAGGGCTGGTCACATGTCTTGTTCCTTCATCACCCGTTTAGTGTCATAAATGGGCAGTGGGTGGCCAGAGGAGCACGCTAGTAGCTGACTGTGCTATGGAATTTACTAGCGACTACATTTTTTTTTGAAATCCTCACCCGAGGATATTTTTCCATTGATTTTTAGAGAGAGGAGGAGAGAGGGAAAGACAGAGAAACATCGATGTGAGAGCAACACATGGATTGGTTGCCACCCATACATGCCCCGACCAGGGCCCAGGCCAGGGAGGAGCCTGCAACCGAGGTACATGCCCTTGACTGGAATCGAACCCAGGACCCTTCAGTCCCCAGGCTGACACTGAGCCAAACTGGCTAGGGCACGACTACATTTTTAAAATTGATTTTAGAGAAACAGGAAGGGAGAGGGAGAGAGAAAAACTTTGATTTGAGAGAGAAACATCAATCGGTTGCCTTTTGTACACACCCCGACCAGGGATCGAGCCCACACCCGGGGTATGTGTCCTGACGGAATTGAACCTGTAACCTTTTGGTGCACAGGGAAGCTCTGAGCCTGAGCGTGCAGGGTTTTTATCCTGGTTGGTCACATGGGCCTGAAGCACTGACCTGCGTGGCTGCCTTAGTGACTCAGCCTCCAGCCCCTCCAGAGGTCAGATGGTACCGTGTGGCCCACGGCCCCACCGTCGATCACATTGTTGGTCCAGGATTCTCCAGGGACTGGAGGTTGTCCAGGAGCCAGTCAAGGGCCAGCCGTGCGTTTGGGATGTGCAGGGTTTGGGTAGCCCCGGCCTGTTGAGGTCACACTTTGCTGCACGGATGCTTATTATCCGTCAGGGTTCAGAGAAGCCGGTTACTGTGCGTTAGGAAGCATTCCAAAATCCGTAAGAGAAATGTTTAAGAGAGCTTTTAATTATTTGCTAATCCTCACCTGAGAGTATGTTTTTATGAATTTGAGAGAGAGAGAGAGAGAGATTGATGTGAGAAACATCGATCAGTTGCCTCCTGGCCGTACCCCGACCAGGGGTCGAACCCATAATCTGGGTGTGTGCCCTGACCAGAATCCAACTCAAAACCTTTTGATGTACGGACGACACTCCAATCAACTGAGCCACCTGGCCAGGGCTTAAGGGAGCTTTTTAAAACATTTATTTGTTTATATATGAAAAGAATATAGAGCTATATACTTATAAACATGCACTTCTATGTGTATATGTCTGTATATATACATATATATGTTCATATGTACGTGCGTGTATATATACACGTGTGTGTGTGTGTGTGTGTGTGTGAAGTGAAGGCAGCAGCCTGTTCCCTCTCCCCTCAAGGCTCCACGTGTCTAGCAGCAGATCTAAAAATAGTGCTGCAGCATCCCTGATAGGAGCAGCTGTGGTTTCCATGACAATGAACGGCTTTATGGTTTCCATGACAACACACCCTGCAGCCTCAGCCCTTCCACTCATCTCTGCACTTCGGGTTTGGGGCTGCCTCTCCATCCTCTCCCTCCCCGCTTTACTTTTATCTTGTCCTCTGCGTGTTTTTTCAATCCTTGAAACTGTTTTCAATTTGTATTTATTTTTCAATTCCTGTGTATATTATGCGAGAACCCACAGAGTTTCTGTAAATGCTAAACACAGAGACGGTCTGGGAGTCTCTGGACTCCCACTCAAATTGCCTGCCTGAGTAAGTTGTACTAACCCACTGGGTGTGTTTTTAGTGTCGTTTTTTTTTAAAAAAAAACATTTTTATTTATTTCAGAGAGGAAAGGGGAGGAAGACAGAGATAGAAACATAAATGATGAGAGGGAATCATTGATTGGCTGCCTCTTGCATGCCCCCTGCTGGGATAAAACCCACAACCTGGGCATGTGCCCTTGACTGGAATCAAACCTGGACCCTTCACTCTAGCACAGTGCCCTTGACTGGAATCGAACCTGGGACCCTTCGGTCCACAAGCTGACTCAGCTCTATCCATTGAGCCAAACCAACTAGGGCGCCCACTGGGTGGTTCTGTGACTCGTTTGGCATGTTCTATTCCGTTAGTGCTGTGGGGGCTCCTTCTCGCTTCAGTTTCTTAGAGAAAGAAATCGATGTGAGAG